TTCCAGACTGATAGATGTCAGTAACTTTGTTTCTCAGCAGTTCCTTTAGATCGTGGCGTGATGTGTTGCTTTTTGAGCTCTTTTTTACCTACTTAAGTGATTTCTTGATTCAACAGTCCTGCCAGTAATCAGGCCTGAGTGTGTTTAGCCAAACTGAACTCAAATTTTCAAAACATGGCGGTTAATTACAGTTAATCAATGATTTAACAAGAGGGGAAATTACTTTTTCTCACACGACCAGGTAGGTTTAGGTAACTTTTTTCACTTTATCAATGAAATCATGATTTAATAAGTGCATTTTCTATATACTCGGGTTATCTTTGTCTAATATTAAAATTTGTTTGACAATCTGAAACATTTAAGTGTGACAAATATGCAACACACTAGGAAATCAGGAAGGGGGCAAACACTGGGTCCACCTTTAATCTGTTTATGCCTAAAACGTACTGAAGACTTGCTGAAAAAAACCCAACTTCTCACATCATTTCTGACATTTTTCTGGTGACTTTATATAGCAAGACATTCGTTTTATACATCCCATTACGTTTGGTTTTGTTTTTTAAAAAAGTTCAATATGCTGTAGCGTACCACTGACATGTGACTTCAAAAAACAAAAGATGGTGGACGGCGAGGCTTCAAAACAGTTCTGTGAAAATCAAATAGATAACTTTTGATAATTTATATACAATGTAACATTGAAATCACTACACTGAAGTGCACACAGACTTTGAAATCCACAATTCCAAGATTTGCCATCTAACACTGAATCAGTCCAGCTGCCTGTAGATGCTGGCTCTTCGCTCTCCGATAGACAAAAGAGGCAGAAAGTTAAATTCTGAGCTGCACTGTTGACCCCCATCTTCTCTCTCTCTCCTCCCCCTGTACCCCCGCCACACCACCTGTTGAACAGTACATCCATTCAGCTGGATTGATCCACAGAGTGAGTTCCTTCTTCTTGCCTTGGTCAAGAGACCACTGCTGCACTTTGGTGGTTGAAACGACAACATCTTAAGCATTTTCCTATTTCGTTATTTAAGATGTTTTAAGGTGATAAAATCACCTCCAGACTGTCCGGCATTATAACATAAACATATCAGCATGTTTCATTGAGTGAAATTCTGAGAGTACATTTCACATTTTGAAAGAAAAAGTCGATCAGAAAATGGGATAATGGTTATTTTACTCATGCTGCTGAGTTTCAGATATGTTGTAATTCTTGTGATGTTTCTCTATTTAACCAACGTCTTCAGGACCTCAAGCCAAGCAATGTGGCAGTGAATGAGGACTGTGAGCTTAGGGTAAGACCAGTCTTTAGTTTAACCCTACAAATGCTACATTACAGCCAATGAAATCCATCAATCTGGAAATAAACTGTTCACCTGTCCTACAGATCCTTGACTTTGGCTTAGCCAGGCAGACAGATGATGAGATGACAGGTTATGTGGCGACTCGCTGGTATCGAGCACCAGAGATCATGCTCAACTGGATGCACTACAATCAGAATGGTAAGGTGCCATCGAATGAAAGACACCGAATGAGGTTTTCAAGGTATTTCGCATTTGGCAGCAATAAAATGGGCAAATGCTGAATGGCTAATCCTGTAGTGTTTCTGTTTCAGTTGATATCTGGTCAGTGGGATGCATTATGGGAGAGCTACTGAAGGGAAAAGTCCTTTTTCCCGGCACTGACTGTATCCTTATCATCGTGGCGTGAGTCCACCGCAATTTGCAGCTTTTCTTCTCTCTTAGTGGGAACCTTCCATCGCCTCTTTAAACCGCCCCATGGATGCGGACCTCTTGTGGATTTGCATTACAATCGTAGGCCTTTCTATGGGGGGAGCTGCTTCAACAGAGAGAAACTGGGGAATGAATAGGAGCAAACACAAAAGATTGAATTGTCTAGGCTGTTGTATTCAGTGTCTCAGAGGGGCTCTAAAACAAATTTGATTTACTGATCTTTCTGTGCTGTCAGACTTCGAGATGTCTTTTAAGCAGCGATCTGCCTCCGTATGTGAAAAGATACTCTAATGAGCCAAATCTTGCAAGTTGATGACTTCCGCAAATCTCGATGGCCCTTAACTCCTCCTGTGCTAAGATATCGACCAGCTGAAGAGAATCATGGAGGTGGTGGGAACTCCGACACCGGAGCTGTTAAAGAAGATCTGCTCTGAACATGTGAGGACTCTACAAAGAGATTGGGAATGTCAAAATAATGCTTTCCGCAAAAGCTGTTTCTACTGACAAAAGCAAACTGCTCTGATTGATTAGTCACTCCACTGACCTGGCTGTCAGTATGTCTGAGCGTTGGACATAATTGATCACCAGTGGTTGGACATGTTATCCAAATTGTGACTTGCCATGAGCAGTGTTGGTCAAGTTACTTGAAAAAAGTAATCAGTAACTAATTACTGATTACTTCCCCAAAAAAGTAATCCTGTTACTTTACTGATTACTTATTTTCAAAAGTAATTAATTACTTAGTTACTTAGTTACTTTTTAAAAACACGATTTACAACCTGAATAGGTAATAAAGTG